GGACGGAGCTGGAGCAGCAGGTGGTGGAGCTGGAGGAGGAGGTAAGGGGCGGCTGGGTGGGCCCGCGGGGCGGGGGGCGGCCGTGGCCGGCTCCGCGGCCGCCGTGCTTCACGGCTCTCTGCAGAACCAGAAGCTGCTGGTGAAAAACCAGCTCCTGCGGGAGAAGACGTGTGACCTCGCTCTGGAGAACCAGGAGCTTCGCCGCCGCCTGGGCCTAGACGCTCTGAAGACGGAGGAGGAGAGCGAGTCCAAGGTGAGCCTCCTGCCGCGCTGGTGGCTCGTCTCCCTCTTCCTCGGCAGAACCTGCCAAGAGCTGCCGTGCTCCAAGAGGTGACTGCGTGGCGGTGGGCGGGGAGGAGTAACCCCCTCCTGAGAGCTCTCGGGCTGGAACTGCCGTGCTGTGAAGAGGGATACTTCATGTGCCAGAAACACTCTTGTCCTCCAAATGGAGGCTTTCCTGCAGACTAAACAGATACTGGGTCTGAAGCGGGCGCCGCTGGTAGTGTGGGAGATAGCGAGCCGACTAGGTCCAAGCTGTCTTTAAGATTATCTTAGAATCTGCTCTTCTACATCATGTTCTAGAAATGAAGTAGTAACTGTTACAGTCATGTATGCCTGTCTCAAAAGAACGGGGGTATAGTGGAGGGGGTCAGGCTGTCATTTAAAAGTGGCGAACAAAACAAATCTGCAAATGTACTGAAGTTTGAGCCAACTTTGGAAGTGATCTTACCTTCAGGTTCCTACTGGACAAGCAAGTGGAGAATGTAATGTTGGAAGCCGTTGCAGGAAGAGCATAATCCTGAGGATTATGTACTGTACTGTCTGCCAGAACATCTGTGGTGACTGATGATTTTTTTCCTTGGCACAGGTTGTGACGGAATCGCAGGTGGATGAGATTAGGTTGGTGACCGGGTCCGCTGAGTCCGCAGCACTCAGACTACGTGTTCCTCTGCAGCAGGTGCAGGCCCAGCAGTCACCATTTCTGATAACTTCCACATGGATTCTGATGGCAGTGACTCTTCAGACTCAGAGGTGAGCATCCACTCCTATCCAAAATGCCCATGAAATTCAGAACGACTGTGGATTTAAGACTAGTGTTGTAACTTCTTGATGACTTTCCGTAGTTAGCTTGTTTTCCAAGTCTTGGAATGCCATACCTGTGGCTCAAAACAGCTGTGTTAGGTTGTATCCAGTGAGTACAGGAGTTCATGCAACTTGAACAAGTCCTGTTTCCATAAAATATTAGAGGATATTGCCTGAAACAGTCTCTTAGCTCTTACAGCAAAAGTGTACAAATACTGAAAGCGTACTGTGCTTCTATCGTTGTTGAAAACAAATGATCATTTTGCTGATGTGCTGGCACTCAGCAAAGCTGTTTGAACTTAAAGCCTGTCCCTTAGGAACGACTTCCAGAAATGTAAGGACAGGCATCTTTCACCTTAAAAAAAAGGCAAAAAACCCCGAAACAACCCCCCCCCAACTTTGGTCATGGGCACGTCTGCCTAAGCCAGATTCTGGTACTTGCTCTGTGAAGCCAGCAGGTAGTGTGGTGTTTGTACCTGGTGGGTCCAAGATCTTGAGGAGTTTCTAATAGAGGCTGTGAATATCAAACGCATGTAGAATTCTATGGGGATTGCCAGTACCCTTACAAAAAAGTTAATGGACAAAGAATTTCTGAAAGATAAGTAATTGCCTTAACTGTCTGTTCTGATAGTGGTGGTGGTAAAACTCCTAGTTCTGTGATGACATTAGCATATTTTACCTTCTGGATGAGGATTAATAGATGCCATGACTGATGTCTTGCTGTAACAGTAGTAGGCTGTCTTTCTAAAACAGTATTTCATTCTGCAGTCTGATCTCCTATTGGGCTTTCTGGACAGTCTGGACCCAGAGATGTTTCTCAAATATGCTGATTCAGAGTCAGCATGCCTGGAAAAGCTGGAGGAAGAGATCTGTGGAGAAACAAATTCCATACCAGCCTCCCCCTCTCCCTCTTTGGGGTCCCCATCAGCTAAGCTGGAGGCCATTAATGAACTGATAAGGTTTGATCATGTGTACACAAAGCCCCTAATACTGGAGATTCCTGTTAAAATGGGCAACCAAACCAATACGCTAGTGAAAATTGAGGAATTATCTCTCTCTCCATCTGAAGACAAAGCTATCCCTGAGGTCCCAGTATCTGTGAAAGAAGAACCTGTAGACAGCTTCGTGCCTGAACTGGGCATCTCTCATCTGCTTTCCTCTCATCGTAGCCTTGCAGCCTCAAGCTATCTGTTGGATGCCTGTAGTGACTCTGGATATGAAGGATCCCTGTCGCCCTTCAGTGACATGTCCTCTCCGCTTGACATTGACCATGCTTGGGAGGATAGCTTT